CCAGTCACTACTCACCAAAGTAGTATGAGGAATAATGTTTTTGCGTAGTTGATGTTCCCTGCAACTATGGTCCCAAACCTAAAGATCCACTTACTTGCTTCCTCTGGGTAACTGGCTGTAGGCAAGAAGTGACAACAATCTGATCCCTTTACAAATTCCTCACAACAATTTTATTAAGAACAAATGGTTAAAAAAGTGCAAATAGGAAGTGTGGAATGTACAATCATGGAAAGAAAAAATTCTATAACTGGAGAAATAATAAAAATAAATATTCATCATTTATTGAAATACTATTCTAAACCTGCTGCTGTTGAATCTGTTCTTAAGGTGAGCCCATGTGTTGCACAATAGAACTGTTCCATAAGATTTTCAGTTGGTAGTTGAGAGCTGTTTGTGTCACCTGGGAAGGATGTTGTTCTAGGAGGCAACTATTATTCTAGAAAGAAGAAAAGAGGGTTTTGTGAGGTTCAGAACTTGTTCAAGGTACAAAATTAAGCCTGAATTAGAAAAGCAAATGAGTCCTCATTTTTATTTTGTATTTGTTACAGCTGTAAGTTTTCCACTGAAAAAATAGACTGTGATTAAATTAAATATAAATGCCCCAAATGGTCATACACTCTACTCTTTAAGGTAGACTGATAGACTGACTTTATAGCTGAGGAAATTTCAGATGAACTAGATGCTCCTCCTGATTGCACAAATACTGGGAACTATAGATATCAAGGGAGCTCTGGTAGCGTAGTGCCTAAGGCACTTGACTGCTAACCAGAAGGCTGGCGGTTCAAACCCATCAGCCACTCCTCGGAAGGAAGGTTGGGCAGTCTGCTTCCATGGTGATACTGCCTTGAAAACCCAAGGAGGGGTCGCTATGAGTCAGGTCTAACTTGAGGGAGCATAACAACAACAACAACATGGATATCAAAGTCTTCTCCATATAGTTTTTGCACATGTAACTTCAATTTCTTTCAAGAACAATAATTTATAAGGTCTTGTGTCCTGGTTGTAAGAGTCTTAACTGGTGCCATGATTTCTTGTTACTACAAACAATGCATCATCCTCCCAAAGCTGATTTCAGATTCAAGTTTTACTTAATGCTATTTTGGGAAGCACAATCAGGAGACAAATGCTGCATTAATGTGTTAGTTTGTTATTCATGGCTTCCTTCCAACAAAAAAGGGAAGAATAGTGATGGTGGAGCTTCTGTAACTGTATGAACTCCAAATAAGAACATGGGAATATTTTGTAGAGACTACTAAGTTTTAAGAGATGACAATTAAAAATAATTTCAAAGTAGAGAATAATGATAGGAATCCCAAAGAGATACAATTCGTAGATGCTCTATCTTTGGAAGATATTTTATAGACTTTGGCAAGAGCTTGTGCAATGATGCTAAGCTTAGGGATAGCCTGCTGAGCTGCTAATAGTAACAATGCCACATGTTTGACAACAGTGAGTTAAGAGTGCTTTTGACCTGCCCTTGGAATGCAGCTAACTGGGGTATTTTTATGTTTGCATTTTTTTTTAACCTATCCAGCAATTTTCCCTTTTATATTTGTTTTTTTTAACCTATAAATTAATATGCATTTAAAAGACCAAGGAGCCTTGGTAGTACAAGGGTTAAGTGCTTGCTGCTAACTGAAAGGTTGGCATTTCGAACCCATCCAGCAGCTCCACAGCAGAGAGACCTGGAGATCTGCTCTTGTAATTACACCCTAGAAAACCATATGGGGCAGTTGTCTGCCACATGGGGTCACTGTGAGTCGAAGCTGACTTGCTGGTACCTAAGAACAGCAATATATAAAGATTAGTTAATTCTTTTCTTGGAACAAGATATTATTTATATGAATATAAATAAATAAGCTCATTAGATTTATTCTTGAAAACTTTACAAACCTCCATTTCTTAATTGCTGACAATGTGATTTGCCTGATTTTATTTCCTTTGGAATAACAATGTGGATATAAATGTTTCTCTTGATTTTGACCCAGTTTAGGAAAACCGTATCTTAAGGCTGCTACTTAAAACAAATTGCCTCTTGTTTTCAGCCTTTAATGGTGTCATGATTTCTTCTCACTATATACACTGATTGCATCATCCTCTCAAAGCTGATTTAAGACTCAAGTTTCACATAATGCTATTGTGATATTAATGCTGTTTGGTATTCTTACAGAAAAAGTCATCATCCTCACAGTGACTTGAAAGTTCTAATTTGCCCTTTTCTAATGTTCAATTTTCTTTGAAAACCTGAATTGTAGGAATTGCTTGTGAAAACATTTTTTCCTTTTATCATTCTTTGATGAGGAAATGTACCCCATTGTTACTCATAAGAATGTCTTAGGGTTATCCTACCTTTGCCATGATATCATTAGGAATTACAGAAATTAAAATGATTTTTTTTTTTTTTTTTTTGAGGGAGTCTACCTTTTAACCTGAAATGTTTCCTTTCTTCTCCACCTTTTCAGTCTGTGTAAGTTACAGGTGCAGGTCATTACACTGTGTTAGGCCATTCAATTTAAGGAGTTAGGGTGGCTATAAAGTGGCAAATAAAAGTATTCAGCCACGCATATTTCACAGTTTTAAAGACAAGTAAATAATAGAACTTCACAAAAAAAGCTTCATTATAATATATATTAAACAACTAGTTTTGGATGTTACATCCCTAGGCTTATAATAGCCTGTCTGCTTTCCAGAGGTTTAAAAATACTCTCTTGATCCTTGCCTTTTATAATGTAATATGCTATACTAAAGATCATCATTCATTTTTTAAATAAGGTGTACAAGCAAACATTCTTCAGTTCTGATTATACCTTGCCTAGTATTCTACATCTGTGGATACCAATGAAACAAAAAGTATGCCACGTGATACTACAACTAACATTTATTGAATCCCTACTGTGCATCTAGCATTTTCCAGTGCTTTCACTTGCATTGTTTCTCTGACTCCACTCTATGAGGTACAGTTAGATAGTGCTAATTATTGCCGTTTTTGTCAGATGAAAGAACTGAGCCTCAGAATTACAAATCATGACATATCCAGGGCCATATAGCTAATGAGGGGCAAGGCAGAGATACCGTCTTGAAGTCCTCTGACATAATGTCCTATACTTGGTTAATGCTGATGTTCTGAAGGAGATCCTATTCCAAACTCTTGATTTTACAGATGAGTACATGAGGCCGAAGGAAGGTGAGGAATTGCCTGAAGTCCCACAGTTGGGTTTTCTTGTCTTTCTGAACTGCTATGCTTTCTCCATTCATCTCCAAATGACTTTAGCAGAAAAAAATAGAACTTTCCCCTCTATGTACACCTGTCTCATACTGTCTCCCTCTCTTCCAAAAAACGCTGAGGATTTCTGCCCTTAATCCTCTTCCACCCACCCCATCCTACCTCTTCCTCAGGGCCCAATTTTTTTCTAGTTTTTCCTGAACATATCCCCTCAAATGTCTCAGAAGAAAAAAACTTGAAATGAAGGCTATAAAAATGGAAATTGTTAACATCCTCCATAAATTTGCTGATTCCTCTTAAATGATGCAATTTCCTGAGGATTTCCTTCTTAAGGTAATGATCTTGCCTTTCTCTCAGGTCTGACTGCATTATCTCCTTTGCTTCCTTGAAGTTAGGGTCTATATACTTTGATTCTGGATTCCTCAGCCTTGAGCCTTGAGCCTATCCTGTGTTTAGCATCTCTCTTCCTGAAGTGTTTCCTTGATATACCTCTCTGGGTATATCTCCTACATATTTCTCAAATACAACAAGTGGTGTTCAAAACCCTACATTTCTAGCCATCCCCAACTATATGCTCTTTTTACCTTTTTGATTCTGATTAATGATTTTTAGCATTTACTCAGGCTGGGAAACTAGAATCTGTATGTCACTCAGGCTGGGAAACTAGAATCTGTATGTCATTCTTTACTGTTCCTTCAATCTTATTCCCCACGTTTAGTTATCAAAATTTAACAATTTTACCTCTGATATGCTTCACAAATTTGGCTTCTATTTTTGCTCTTATTGCCATTACTTTAATTGAGGCCTGCTGTCCATAACCTAAGGCTCTCTGGTAGCACATTGCCTAAGGCATCTGACTGCTATCTAGAAGGTTGGTGGCTCAGACCCACCAGCCACACTGTGGAAGCAAGACTGGACAGTCTACTTTTATAAAGATGTACTATCTCAGAAACCCAATGGGGGTCACTATGAGTTGGAATTTACTTGATGGCAGTGGGTTAGGTTTTTTTTTTTTTTTTAAATCTATAACCTATGTCTTTATACTCTAGTATAGTCCCATTTAACAGAAAGAAGAAAGAAACATTTATTTAGTTTCTATAATCTGCCAGGTATGATGGAAAAGTGCAAGGGGGAAAGAAATAAAAACCCAACACTAAATTTGAATGGCTTGTTTTATAATAGGCAAATTTCCCTGACTTCTCCATTTTGCTTTTATTTATCTGCCTTTCTATCTGTCCCTTTCATCTTTCTTTCATTCTTTTTCTTTCTTCTTTTTCTTAATGGCACAATTCACTCCAAGTAATTAAAGTTTATGGAATCTTTTAACCATAGCTGTTCAGATATAGTGGTCTTGTTTATTGATGACACTCTTTCAAATACCATTCTCAAATTTTCAGATATGAAGATATAAAATGTTAGTATTATTGTGAGCATTCTTGAGATAATTTGGAATACCACACTAGATTTTTGGAGGATAGTTGAAGTAAGATTTTAGAAAAGTGTAGGGAAGGCTAAAGGTAAATTAAATGATTATAAAATATGATACTAACCGGTATTTTCAAGAGCACTCTAGTTTGGTAGATTACATATTAAATTCTAATATGTCCTATGAGCACACATTAAGTAAACCTCCTTTTAAAAGAAGATTATAAAAAAAAATCATCTTCTTCAGATTCCTGAAATATTTTAAAGGTAATTTTTAGTGTGCTAAAATTTTTCTATATTTTCTATGATAATGGTTGTCAGATTTAATGCAGTACTTTTCTGTTGCTGATAGGTACACACTGGTGGATATTTTGCGTGCCATCTTGCTTTCTTTAGAAGCCATGATTGAAGATCCTGAGCTTCAAGTGAATGGATTTGTTTTGATCATAGACTGGAGTAACTTCACCTTCAAGCAAGCCTCTAAACTTACTCCAAGCATGCTGCGATTAGCTATTGAAGGCCTTCAGGTAAAGATTGATGAATTCCCCAGTTTTTTGTTTTCTCATATCCCTTATTGACAAGTTTAATTAATTTCTCTTGTTAATTAACTTCTCATCTTGTTAGAATAACAAAATGTCTTACTACAGAATATTGACAATAATTTTTAAAATAATTTGCAAATACAAGCATTGCAGCATTAACTGAACAAAAGAATTTCAGCAGAGAGGTTGAAGGATATGGGTCTTTGAATAGTAAGATGTAAATATATGGTGCTCGACACACCCCTAGCCCTCACCATGTCTACACATAAATACCACTGACAAACTGAGACTTTTATCTGGATAATCAGGACAAGCAATATCTTTTGGATTTTAGTTACTAAGCAATTTAAGGTTTGAATTTTGCTGTTTTTTTCATTCCTGTTCTATGTATATTTATTAATTAGTGAAATAATTTGCTTCATTATCTCATTTAACACAGTAATTTGGGATATGGCCTGTATTGTCTTCATACTGCCTAAAAAAACTGTTGTAAAGCTATTCACTATGTTTCTTGGTTTTATGATACAAAATCACTGCTATGAATTATTATTTTGCACTTAATTGGTGTTTATGTTTTTTAGGGAGGAGTTAATCATATGCAATTTATATAAAAATAGCCCTTCTTCTAGCAAATGATAATTCTTTAACTGATAAGGAATTATAAAATGGGAATTTTGTTATTTTATTATTTATTATTTAATTGCATTTCATAAATCTGTTATTGCCATTTTTCTCACTTTTAGAATGTCTTTCTTTTGTTCTCTGCATTGCTTCACACTTTTTACATAATAATTTTTCTGGAATAGATTTTCACCTTTTCAAAAAGATTTGCAAATTGCTGCGAGTGCTGTTAATCACAATTTTCAAGAAGTGTTTTAGGAGCTTGTAAGTCAACAGTTAATTTTTCTAACTTTTACTACTGAAGCATATCGCTTGCTTTCAAGCCCCTAGTTATGTTCTTGTCATTTATTACATCAGGATGTTAGCTCTTTTGTAATGATGAATAAATAAAATTTTTTTTTAAAAAATTTATTTAAATAGTAATTCCTTCCTGTTCCATAGTAATTTCTGACTGTCTTTAGGTATCTACATTGATGGCTAAAAAAGGACCACTTCTGTAGGTTGCAGAACATTTAACCAAACTAAATTCTCAGGTTTCTGGCTCTGGAGTTGGTATGATGCACTGATCCTTTTTCTGTGGCTAGATTTTTTTTCCCCCTGATTTGCTGTTGGTGTCAGGCTTACTCCTGTCATACTTTTAGCAACATCTTTTGTAACTTCACAGAGACAGTTGATAAGGCTTGGAACAGCCTGAGACAAGGCTTGTTTAGAGACACTTATATCATGTAGAATTAGGACTAATTCTACCCTATTGCCAGGGATGTATAAAATGTTTCTTCAGTTCGTAAAGAAAATTGGTTACCACTGACCAGGTTACTGACACAGAATGATAACTTAGCCTGTAATAATTGTCATCCCTATTTTACTTATGTTTCTATTAGCACTAGGGGCAGGCTACCCCTTCAACTGGGTGAAGGACTCATGTTGTTGATAGCGTCCATCGAGCAGACTTGGACTCATGACGGTCACATGTGCAAGGTAGAACTGTTCCATAGGGTTTTCAAGGCTGTGACCTTTGGGAAACAGATCTCCAGGCCTGTCTTCTGAGATGTTTCTGGGTGGGTTCTGACCGCTAACCTTTCAGCTAGTAGTCAAGTGCTTAACAGTTTGCGCCACCCAGGGGCTCCTGCATGAAGAACTAGTGAAGTCATATTATTCCTCAAGCAATTTGAAAAACTACCTCAAGGATAGACTCATTGTTATCTGCCAATTTACACACTTTATGGAGTCATTTAACAGTAGGGTGATGAATCATTGTAGAGGCACAAACTGACAACTCAGATGTGTTTGGGAGCTTACCCGTTAGCCAAGGCCACTATCAGGACAACTTATTTGAGTACTCTATGTGAGCAGAGCTGGTGGTTCAAATCCACCAGCCATTCCTCAGAAGGAAGATGGGGCAGTCTACTTCTGTAGTGATACTGCCTCGGAAACCCAAGGAGGGGTTGCTATGAGTCAGGGCTGACTCGACGGCACATAACAACAACAACAACAACAACAACATGTGAGCAGAGCAGAAGCTACTGTCAGGTTAAACCTCAGTGCTTGTGCCTAGAAAGGGAGATGATCCCCTACCTCTTCGTGGACCTGTGCTGCCTACGTATGTGGGACCTCCTTAATTCTATTCCCCAGAAATGTCACAGTACCTGCTCTTCTCTCTCAGGACACAGACAGTTTGATTCCTCTTAATTGCCAATGGCAACACCACTTAAAATAAGTGAGCTCTTCTTGGGAATAATTTTGCCATGTTATTAACTTTTAGAACCAAATTGTCTCTGGTTGAAATTTGTTTTTTACTACACACACACACACACACACACACACACACATACACATACCCTTGTGTCTCTATCTACAAATTGCGAACCAATATAATGGAATATAAGACGGACCAAAAATATTTCACTGTGAGATGTAGGATTTCGTATTTAGTCTCTTATTGAAGATTTTATTAGTCTCTTATTGAACATTTTCTGACTTTTCGAATCAAGTCCCTGTTTTACTTTGTATTTACTGTATGAGATCTTTTACTGTGCATTGATTTCATTCAAAACATGAATAAACATTTTTTCAGGATTTCAAGATTTTACAAGACCATAAAATATTTGAGGTAAAAATATCTAAACAATTTTAGGTTGCTAAACACAACTACCACAATCATGAATGTCACCACCACCACCCCAACAGTAAATGCTTTCTAATTAACTCAAGGAGATTCAGAATTGGGAATATTTTAATAATTTAGTGGTAATTTATATCAAGCCACAATTCTGCCATATTGATTTTATTAAGGCAAAACTAAAACAAAAGTAAGGAAGACTACCAATCACTCTAGGAGCTCTGGTAGCATAGTGGCTAAAGCACTTGACTGCTAACCAGAAGGCTGGCAGTTCAAGCCCACCAGTCACTCCTCGGAAGGAAGGTTGGGCCATCCTACTTCCGTAGTGATGCTGCCTCGGAAACCCAAGGAGGGGTCGCTATGAGTCGGGGCCAACTCGACAGCACATAACAACAACAACAACCAATCACTCTGGTGCCAGAGAAAACACTTATTTTTCTGACATATATTATGTCAGTAAAATTATGTTACTGACATGTATTATGAATGAGATGTGACTGCGTTTGGAAAAGGCCTCATATTACTTCATCTTGAGGTGGCTGTGTACCCCGTATATCCACCCTCACTGATCCTATTTTTTCTTTGAACAAGAGTATTTTGAGTGATGTGGCTAGAGATAACACCTTACAGTGTGCATAATGATGCATAGGCTATCTCTATGCTATCCACATTTGAGAACAGCACAAGGTCAATTGAGGGACAGTGTGGAGGGGTGGGGATAGAATGAGCTTTGGAGGAAGTTCAACCTAGGTTTGGATGACAACTCTGCCAATATAGTAAATGGTTGAATAAGTTACTTAGCCTGCTTGAATCTCAGAAACTTCACTTGTAAAATTGGCACTATAATACCAATTTTAAAATATTATTATATTAGAAGTGATACATCTTATACTTAGCAGGTGGTATCATGATTAAAGTAATTAATGTGAATCAGCTTATTTTTCAAATGGCAGTTTTCTCTGGATGTGTGCTACATTTCTCACAACTCAGTGACTACCTAGACTCTGAAGAATGAAAGTTGGTTCACACTGGGAATTGAATATCACATTTTTCTTTGGTATTCAAATTGTAAATAATGCAGTTTTTCCCTATTACTTCTCTGTGTAGTTAAAGGACATCTAGATACTTTTACATTGGCTGCCAAATAAAATGTATTTTCATATTGGAAGCCCAATAAAAAAATGAAAATATTTTATCTGCTGCAATATTATCTCCTTTTTTTTTTTTTTGGAGAAGATTTAGGCACAGCTAAAAAATGTGGTGATGGTGGAGATGTCCTGGACCATGAGGGTTGAGCAAGAATTTGCTAAGTGGAAAAAGAGGGGAAGGAAATTTCAGGTGGAGGGTTGATGGGGAGACATTTTGAACAAACACACAGCAATTTAGTTTGAAAATACTTGATGAATGTGTAATGACACAGCTAAAATGAGAAGTGAATTGAGGCAATTGACTAGAGGTAAGCGTGGAAAGGTGGGCTGAGACCTGGATATATAGGACAGAAAGTGCTATGCTGTATGGTTTGGCCTGTGCTCTCCTGACATGGGGAAGTTTGAGACAAGACAGCAACCTGATGACTCCTCTGCATTGAAAAGATCTCTTGGTTAGAAAAATGGACTTAGATCATAACAGGGAGGAGTTGATCCAGAGAACCCCCAAACTGCCCTTGAGTTAATTATATCACTGTGATTTTATAGGGCAGAAAATTAAACTTCAGGGAAATTAAGATGCTTAACAAATTTTCTCAGTTGACGTCAAAGCTTGATTCCAGGTTGTCTTGACTCAAGGAAGCAATTCTTTCCTGAATCCAGTTGCTTTTATAGTCTCCAGGGCTATTCATTAGAAAATGTGGGTAGGTTACAGCTTAGGTTACAGTAACTTTCTTCACCCACCCCAAATCCTCACAATGTAATACACATATTTGTTCATTGAGATAAATAATAAAATTGTAATAAAAAGAAGCCACAAATGGCTGCTCTGTGGCGTGCACTTTTTTTAATATACCAGTTGCTGAACCATTTTCTTTTCCCCAGTGACCTGCCTCCTTGAGTGACTACCAGCCTCCCAGTTCTCTGTGACAAAGTGTAGAGGTCAATAGAAATCCATTTTGATTATAGCTAAAGAGATCTTTTATCAACACAATCACAAAAATAAGCCTTTTGTAATATTGATCCAAGGCAGTTTTGTATACTTTCACTACACAGAATCTCTACAATCATTTTTTCTTTTATAAAAAATAGCAAACATT